CGAAAGACCCCAGTTTGGCTCCCAGCATGCACTTGGCAGCTCACAAACACTACTAGTAACTCCAGTTCCAAGGAAGCAGACTTCTTTGGGTCTCCTTGGGTACTAGGCACATAAGTAATGCACATACACACAGGCAAAAACACTTTTACATATAAAATTAGTGAGGGGGGGCTGGAGAGATGGTGCATCAATTAAGAGCACTGGCTGTTCTTCCAGAGGACCTGAGTTCAAGTTTTAGAGCCCACATGCAGTTTACAATTGCCTGTAACTCCTCATCCATGGGATTGGGACACCCTCACACAGACATACGTGTAAGCAAAATACCAATGTGCATTAAAAAATTTTTCAAAAATTAAGAAAATAAAATTTTTGTTTGCTTTGTTATTCAAGGCAGGATTTCTCTGTGTATATCTGTCCATACTACACCAGGCTGGACTTGAACCCAGAGATCCACCTGCCTCTGCCTCTAGAGTGCTGGGATTAAAGGGATGTGCCACCATTGCCTGGCTAAAAATAATTTTTTTTTAAATATCTGTGCTTTTTTTTTTAAAGATTTATTTATTTGTTATGTATACAACATTCCTTCCATGTATGCTTGCATGCCAGAAGAGGGCGCCAGATCTCATTATAGATGGCTGTGAGCCACCATGTGGTTGCTGGGAATTGAACTCAGGACCTCTGGAAGAGCAGTCAGTGCTCTTAACCTCTGAGCCATCTCTCCAGCCCTAAAAATAAATTTTTAAGAATGTTAAAGTTTGGTTCCCCCCGCTCCGCCCAAAGAATTTTTCACAGCACCACCCCAGATATGCGTCCCCAACTTCATCTCCCTGTTCCATGTGCGTATGTGGCGATCACAGCAAAGCTTCCAAGAGTCAGTTCTCTCCTTCCATCGCAGGTCTGGGTACGGAATGCAGGCTGTCAGGCTTGACTGGAAATCCCTTTTACCCTCTGAGCCCCTAATTTATTTGAAAGTGCTGGGAACACCTGTTATATTCTTAAATTCACAACACCGAACAAAAGTCCTACTGTTCTTTGGATCTCATGTCAGGACTGTGACTCAGGAAGAAACAAGGGTCCCTTCCAGAAGGTGAGCTTCAGGAGAGATGAGAAGCTATTGAAGACTACATCCAACTCGTCACTTCATGCCCAGATGATTAGCCTTGCTCTACAGAGGGAAGAAATCCTCTGACTAAGATTACTAAGTGACAGTATGGTATGAATTTTTTTTTTTTGAAAGACAGAGCCTCAACTGGATATAGTGGCACAAACCTTTAATTTCAGCACTCAGGAGGTAGAGGCAAATTGGTCTTTGTGAGTTCAAGGCCAGCCTGGTCTACACCTCAAGTTCTAGGACAGCCAGGGCTACACAGTGCCTGTCTCAAAAATCCAAAACAAACAAATGACAGAGTGTCACGCAGCCCAAGCCAGCCTGGAACTCTCTCTGTAGTCAAGGGTAAACCTTGAATTTCTGATCCTCCTGTTTCTTCCTCCTTAGTTCTAGGATCCCAGGTAATACCACACCTGACTTCTATGATGATGGGAACTGAATTTAGGGTTTTGTGCACTGTTGACGAGCACACTACACAACTGCGCCATGCTCCCAGTCTCTCCAATATAATCTTCTAGCAACAGAAGTATGATCCCATTTTTCCCCAGCTAAAACTCCATTAGAGACTCCAAGTTTTTAGGATAAAGTCCATATTCTCCCACTCTCTGCCCAATTCCTGCCTGCTTTTCTGTTTCTCTCTCTCTCTTTCTCTCTCTCTCTCTCTCTCTCTCTCTCTCTCTCTCTCTCCCTCTCTCTCTCTCTCTCTCTCTCTGTGTGTGTGTGTGTGTGTAGCACTTAGACTCGAGCCCAGGATGTGTGTGTGTGTGTGTGTGTGTGTGTGTGTGTGTGTATAGTACTTAGAACTGAACCCAGGATGTGTGTGTGTGCGTATGTGTGTGTGTATGTACTTAGGATTGAACCCAGGCTCTCAGGCACGCTAGACAAGTACCCTGCCACTGAGCTATCTCTAGCCCTTTTTGTATCTTTTACTTTTCCACAGTGTTTCCCTAAGTTGGCAGGCTGATGTTGCTCTACCGCCTCGGTCTCTTCAGCAGATGGGACAACAGACCTGTACCACCACTCTTGCTTTCAATCTCAATATGTTCCCCATCCCCCAGCCTACAGTTTTATCAGTCTCATTATGGTACCTCAAAAGCACCATCCTGGGCGGGGGAGATGGTTCAGTGGATAAGAATATTTGTTGTGTTGGGCATGGTGGCACATGCCTTTAATCCCTGCACTTAGGAGCAGAAGCAGGTTGACCTCAAAGTTGTGATCCTGGCTTATCCTCAAAATCTTCTCTGAAAGATTATATTTTTATTATTTTTAATTATGTGCATATCCTGTGTTTCTGTGTTTGGGTTTGTGTATGTGAATGCTGGTACCCACAGAGACCAGAAGAGGACTATACAATGCTCCTCTTGCCTCTGCCTTTAAGTGCTAGGATTATAGGCATGTGCCATCACACCTGGCAAGGCGAAGTGTTGTACTTAATCTGTGAACTACAAGAAGAGCAGGGTCCATCAGGCAATAGTGGTGCAAACCTTAATCCCTGCACTTTGGAGGCAGAGGCAAGGGATCTTTGTGAGTTTGAGGCCAGGCTGGTCTACAGAGTGAGTTCCAGGACAGCTAGAGCTGTTACACAGAGAAACCCTGTCTCAAAAAGCCAACTCTCCCCCAAAAAGTGTGACAGGGTCCACAGAAACCTACATATTTATTCTTCCTGATCTTATTGAATGTCTGTTGTTGGTGCAGCATCCAACAACACAGGGAATTAGAATTATAGTTCTAAGTTCCCATTCAAGCTCTGCAATTGGCATCACTGAGTTTTGGGAAAAGTACAGTTTTCTTCAAGTCCCCTCCCCTGTCTTCTTTACCAGAGCATATAAGTCAGAGGAGGCAATAGGAAAGTTAGCCTCCAGATGGTGAGATGGCTCCATGGGTCAGAGTGCACGCATACACATGCACATACATACACGATGTATAATGTTGGATGCAGTAGTTAGTGCACAGTGAGCCCAGGACCTTACATATGTGAGGCAAGCCATCTACTGAAGAGTAGTCTTGATCCTGGAGGGGTGAGTACAGGTGACAGCTGAGCCCAAGTGGGTAGCTTTGACTGCTTTCCAAAATCAAACAGAAATGACTGGGAAGTGTTTGCAGTTTTGGAATCTATTTACTTTTCTGGGCCTGCCACTAATGCAAGAGAAGTTGGCTATATTTAGTTCTGTGTTTTATTTTGTTTTCTGTCCCTGAGTCAGAGGGGAATTGTTTCTTCCCTTGTTCAGTTTTGCAAAAGCAAAGATCATTTATTTCCCTTTTTGGCCGACAGCTCTCTGATGTTAAAAACTAGTCTTCTCTCCCCACCTACCATACCCAACACAAACAGGCAATTTCTGAGCCTACATCTTTGGGCTATCTTCTCAGGATTATGGTTAAACTAGTTAGTGACAGGACGCAGACCCGGGGGACTGAAGCATTTGGGCAATTCTAAGATAGATGTTACAATTGCCTTCCTATAATTGGTTTTCCTGTGGTGGCTGCCTATATCAGACAACATGATTGTTGTGATGAATTAAAGAGGGAGCCAGATGGTGGTGGCACACACCTTTAATCCCAGCACTAGGGAGGCAGAGGTAGGAGGATTTCTGTGAGTTCGAGGCCAGCCTAGTTTACAGAGTGAGTATAGGACAGGCTCCAAAGCTACAGAGAAAAAAACTGTCTCAAAAAACAAAACAAAACAAAACAAACAAAACAAAAAGAATTAAACAGAGTATAGAGTAGATAGATCCAGATTTATATACAGATTTTGCCACCAACAAGCAATGTACCTTTTCTGGAATACGTCTTTCAGTGTGTTTAAAAAAAAAGGAGGGGGGGAGAAAAATCATGACATCCACACTCTAGACTTGTTAAATTATACATACATATGTACAAAAAGTCTTCCCCCACAGCCTGGTTTATAAGTGCTCATTTAAGGACGTAGGGGAACTCATGAGGCCTCAATCCTAGATAAAGAACTACAGATAGCTAAAGCATGCTGAAAGTGGGAGAAAAAATAGTCCTCCCCATGGAAGAGCACACCAGTCCTGAAATCATATTCCTATATTATACGTACTGGGCAGGCTGTATTAATATATTTAGGAACACACGCACCCTATAAAGAGAAGGAGGCCATGAATTTGAGAACAAGGTGAAGGGTATATGGGAGTAGGGTTAGAAGGAGGAAAGGGAGGGGGAAATAATGTGATTATAATCGCAAAAAGAAATGACTTGTGATGGAAAGCTCTAGTGGTGAATCAAAGGCCCATGTGAAGAGTTCGGTGCAAAACTAGAAGCCAAGAAGCAGTAAGTGTCGCCTCCAAACAATAAAGTCTTCTGGCTCTGGGTCAGCGTTGCACACACCTCATTGCACTGCCTCCCGGTTTTAGGTTTCCAAAGACCCAGGACTGCCTAAAGGCAGGAGTGGGGAAGGCAGCCGAGAGCAAAACTGGCTTCTAATAGGAATAGTTCGCCAAGGGGCAGTGGCTCTTGGCGAACCGCAGCCATGGACCTCGGTGTCTTCCACTTACCCAGGAATGGTAACGGTCCTTAACGGCAGCCGATAACGGCTCACCTGTGACCCGGTGCCTATCAAGGATACTGTGATTTGAAACCTTGGACTTTACAACCTACCACTCGCGAAACGCTAATTCAACAAGGAACTGCAAGTCCCAGAATGCCCTGCGACCACCCTACAAGGTGTGGGGACCTCTTCGCCTGGGAGCGCGGCTGAACCTAGGGGTTTCCGGAATTGCTGCCCACTCCTCCCAAGGCGTCCCTTCATGATTTCTGGGTTTTGTAGTCCACTTCGATCCATTTTCTTGAAAACGAGCTGCCCTTAGTGTCAGATTTCTTCACAAAAACTACAAAACCCAGAATACAGTGCATATCCCTCCTGTCCAATAGGAGCCCTCCATGTAGCGGGGCGCGGAGCCCGGCTCTCGCAACCCAAGATGGCGGATGAGAGTGAGACAGCAGTGAAGCTGCCGGCACCTTCACTGCCGCAGATGATGGAAGGGAACGGAAACGGCCATGAGCACTGCAGCGATTGCGAGAACGAGGAGGACAACAGCTACAACCGGGGGTAACGAGATCCTTGTAGCCCATTTCTTGCCCCGTCTCCCACAAGCTGGGTCTCTGGGGTGCGGGGAAGTCACCGGGAGCTTAGTCTAACCCCACCCCCATGTTCTTATTGGCTAAGACATTGAGATCCTGCCTAGCGATTGGTTTTTGCCTTTGTCATTTATTAGGGTGGGTGCTCAGATGTTAAGGGTCGGAGACATGCATTACTTTCATTATATAAAGTTCAGTGTAGTGTACCATTCGTGTGCTTCAGGCACGGTGGGGGACAAAGGACATTTTGAACGGTGGGTCTCAATAGTACAGCGCAGAGCAATCTAGAAACCGCGGTTTAGAGAAACGTTACTTATCAAGGTGTCTGAACAACGTGACTAGCAATAAACTAATAATAAAGCATTTAGTTGTAGTTCACGGTCAATGAGGAAGTTCACCAGGCTATTCAAGCCATGTATATAATTATGTTGTAAAGTTATTACTGCCAGAGAATTCCAAAATATAAACTCTCCTTATAAATCCTGTGTTACTAGCGATGTGATAATTTTTTTGACTTATTCGGTGTCTATTGCCGCAAATAATCCGTAGGTATTATTAGAATCAATCTTCTTGTGTCTTTGTTAACTTAGTGAAGTAGCTCAACGCTTCAACAAACTGATGTTGCTTCTTGGAGAGTATGTGCTGCTTGTGGGATACTACCGCACCTCTTGTACTTTAGGGTATTTCCAGGGCGTTTTGGTTTTTAAGACAGATTCTCACTGTGTAGTTCTGGCTGGCCTGGAACTTGCCATGTAGAGCATGTTGTCCCCAAACTCGGGGTGACGCTTTTGCCTCTGCCTCCCAGGTACAGGGACTACTGTTACAGGCTGCCATGTAGCTCTTACTCTAAGTAATTGCTGTCGTTTGTTACTAGAAAAAAATGGGCCGGATATTTGAGTGTTTTTCACCCCCAAATCAGTACATCTGTAAGCCAGTCATGGTGAATATTTTGTTCATGTTTTTTTGTCTGCTGCTAACCCCCACCGTCTGTCTGTCTGTATCTCTATCTCTCTATATGCATATGTGTATTTTTTGTGTCAAGAGACTTTTGTGGGTGTGTAATTGTCTGAGTATATGGTAGTCTGCTTTTTAAAGCCAGACTTTGTTATAGCCAGCTTGTCATTAGCTGTAACTGGCGGCTCTTAACTTCCCCCTTCTCCCCAGTGAAAACTGAGATAAAGGTGGAAGGTCATAACCTTTGGAAACATTCTTATTTATTCTTCTGTCTTAGAGGTGGTTGAGCAAAGGATTTAATGATTAGCAGTTTGCCTGGGGGTGAGTTTTAGATTTAAAAAAAAAATCTAGCTTCTTGTTCTTTACCAGCATGAAAAAAAAAATCACAAGAATGTGGCAGAAAAGGAAGTTTGCCAAATTTGATTTTATGACTATGTTCTGTTGCTGTAACTCACAGCAGATCTAATAACAGCCTTGTTTAAGCAGCTATTCCCAAGAAAGGGATAGCTGAGAAAGAGGAAGTGGGAGCTGGAGAAGGGACAGTACAGGCCTCTCGAGAAAAAAAAAATCCCCATCAGATGAGAGTGCTGAATGTCAGTCATTTCAGAAGTGAAAGTATGAAGCTTTCTTTGTTCATCCTGTAATTGCTCTGTTTTTCTCTGTGAAATTGTTGCCCTGCTTAGTGTCGATCTTTTCTGTTTTTTAAATGGGTTTTGTACTCCGAAAAGCTGTGATCAGTTTGCAGAACTTTGCCATGAGCTGGGGTGTAGCTCAGCCATGGAGCACGTGCTTGCCATGTTGCAGGCCCTGGTGTTCAACCACAAGCATGAAAACCAAGAAAATCCTGTTTGCCAGGAAGTTCTTTGTTTTAGTTCTGGTACCGTAGTGTAATAATTCCCCTTTCCCAAAATCTTTGGGAGTGGCCCTGCCCCCCTCCCCCCAGGGAGAAGGTGTTCTATTACAGGGTATGGTTTAAGTGAGCAAATTATATTAGCTTATCAAATCTAGCGTTCCGTGAAAATGAGTTAGTTTGGAGGCGGCAGGTAAAAAACAAAGATCTGGGTCAGGAGACAGTCTACCTCTGACACTTAGAATCAGCCTGTCCCATTAACTTCCCAAGCAAAGTGTTGTGAAAAGAGACTTGCATCCCCCTGGGAAAAGCATGAACTTTGGAGTCATTCAAAACCTGCTTTGAGTAGGGTGTGGTAGTGCAAACCTTCAATCCCAGTGCTCTGGAGGCAAAGACAGGTGGATCTCTGTGAGGTCAAGGCTAGCCTGATCTCTATAGCAACCAACAAGGGCTACATAGTGAGACTTGTCTACAAAAGCCACAGAAAACCTGGTTGTGATCCCAAGATCCATAGCTGTGATCTTGGGGAGGTTCCCTTGCCTACAGCTGTTTATGAAAGTAGAGACAAATAGGGGCTGGAGAGATGGCTCAGTGGTTATGAGCATTGCCTGTTCTTCCAAAGGTCCTGAGTTCAATTCCCGGCAACCACATGGTGGCTCACAACCATCTGTAATGAGGTCTGGTGCCCTCTTCTGGTCTGCAGACAGAATATTGTATACATAATAAGTAAATAAATAAATATAACAAAAAAAGAAATTAGAGGCAAATATTAAGAGTAGTTTTTTTTTTCTTCAGATATTCTCCCAACTTTCCCCAGCTTGCCTTCCATTATTATTTTTTTTTTCTCTTTTCTCTTTTTGGATTTTTGAGACAGTTTCTCTGTGTAGCTTTGGGGCCTGTTCTGGAACTTGCTCTGTAGACCAGGCTGGCCTCAAACTCACAGAGATCCACCTGCCTCTGCCTGCCAAGTGCTGGGATTGAAAGTGTGCGCCACCACTGCCCGGCCACCCTCCAGTTTATTATGAACATTACTTTTTTTTTTTTTTGAAATGCTTTTGCTCCCCCCTTTCCTGTTTTAAGTTTTTGTTTATTTTAATTTAAAATTTTTCAATTATGTGTCTATGCATGTGAGTGTAGGTATCTGAGGAGGTCTTAAAAGGACTTCAGTCCCCTTCACCTGGAATTATGTGTAGTTATGGGCACCTCAGCATGAGTACTGGAAACTGGACTCTTCTGTAGCATTGGTAAAACATGCTCTTAACCTCTGAGGCATCTCTCCACCCACCCTCCCCCAGATGTATTGCTTTTTAAATTTTTATTGTTTTGCATACGGGTGTGTGCATGTGTGTGGGTGCACAAGAGATAGTGCCTCCTTTGAAGAAATTGAAGAGGAAAGGCGCTGGGTATATAGCAGTGCATGTCTGTAATCCCAGCCTTCAGGAGCCTGAGGCCAGTCAGGGCTGCAGAGTGAGACCACTTGAGAACGACATGCACAGCTAAACCAAGGAAGGAAAGTAGGTATTTACTTTTAGAAGGTGTTTAGTTTTCGTTCTGTTGCTAGGATAAAATACTGCACGAAAAGCATTTAGGCAAGGAGAAGATTTAAGTAGCTTGTGCTACATATGTGTAGTATACACATATGTAGCGTGTACACATGATACACATTATGTTGCTTACGCTTCCAGGCTGCAGTCCATTATTGAGGGAAGACAGAACAGGAACTCAAGTAGGACCTCAAAGGCAGAAACCGTGGAAGACGCTGCTTGGTGGCTCACTCCCTCACTTGTGTGTGGCTGGTTTCCTCCTCCTCTGCTGTTTTCACACTTATTTATGTGTGTCTGCTGTGTGTGCTGGTGTCTGGGGAAGCCAAAAGGGGACATAAGTCCCCATGGAGTTACAAATGGTTGTGAGTCCCCCTGTATGGGTGCTAAGAACCAAACTTGGGTCCTGCGGAAGAACAGCTAGTACTTTTTTTAAAAGACAGGATCTTACTGTGTAGCTCTGGCTGGCCTGGGACTTGCACCAGGCTGGCCTTTAGCTCACAGAGATCCACCTGCCTCTGCCACCCAAGGGCTAGGATTACAGGCGTGTGCTACCACACCCAGCACAACTAGTAATTGCTAGGCCATTTCTTAGACTCTTAGTTTCCTTTCTTGTACAGCTCAAAACCACCTGCCTAGGAATGGTGCTGCCCACGGTGGGCTGGGTCCTCTTGTATCAGCACTCAAGCCAATCTGATCTGTGCAGTTCCTCAATCCAGTCTCTCCTCTCTGATGACTGACACCAGGCTGTGTCAGGCTGACAGTTCAGTGTAACTAGGACAGAAGGTCAATTCCGCAAACAGAACTTTCCTTGCTTGCTTTGTCTTCCTTCTGTTTCAAGTGACTCTGTCCATGCTGCTTGTGGAGTTTATAACACATCTAGCACTTGGGAAGAAGGAATCTTTCAGTTTTTAGGCACTCTCTTCATTTCACGGCTCAGCTTTTGGATTTTCAAAACTAGATCAAAGAAAAATGAAAAGAACTCTCATCACTGATATCAAATAAGTATTCTAATTATGTTTCCTAATTAAATGGTAGTTAAAAAGAAACTAATCAAGAGCTGCTTCAAAGAGAGAAACTGGAGAGCAGAAGAAATTAAAATTAAATGAAGCCTATTTCAGGGAGACTGCTGCCCAGGGCAGCCTGTTTTTTTGCTCATCTCCCGCATTGTTGAACTAATATGCTCACTCCAAAATGTGTCAGCTTTGCCAAGCTGCAGTTAACCCTTTCTCTCTGGAGCTCAGAGAGTAGGGACTTTAGGAGGGTGCATCTGTAGCTTTTTCTCTTAATTTTTTGAAAATCTGAGATTTCGGGCTGGAGAGATGGCTCAGTGATTAAGAGCACGGCTGCTCTTTGAGAGAACCTGGTTCAATTCCCAGCAACTACATGATGGCTCACAACCATCCATAGATCTTATGCCCTCTTCTGGTGTACAGACATACATGTAGGCAAAACACTGTATACATATCTTTAAAAATCTTAAATTTCCATTTAAAAATAAATTTATGAGCCAGGCGGTGGTGGCGCAAGCCTTTGATCCCAGCACTTGAGAGGCAGAGGCAGGTGGATTTCTGTGAGTTTGAGGCCAGCCTGGTCTACAAGAGCTAGTTCCAGAACAGGCTTCAA